AACTCACTCAAAGCCAAGTGTGCAATTTCTCCCAGTCCTGTGTACTGTACAGGAAAACATCGTTAAGCTAGTAGTTAGTTTCTAAACAGATTTTCTATGGAAGCTTTATAAACGCGCAACATCGCTTTATGTATATTGTTTTGTCATTCACTATGCTAGTTGCATTATTTTGGTTCTCCTCTGAAAATCTCATTTTGTTGGATTTATTTTAAGCATGTTACAAATATTTTAGTCTCTTTTACGCGAAAGGGATAATTGTGTTGTTCTTCTAAGTAGTTCGACCTACTTTCATTCAAACATTGATTCAAGATTCAAAATAGCCGCGGTCTACGTTTCTGTTCGTTTCCGAGTTTTTCTTCGAAGACCCGGACTGTACCCCAGAAGTATCTGTTGTTGCAACTAATAACAACGAAAGACAAAGAGCCCTGACTTGCGCAGAATTATGGAGGACAGCCTGCTGAATCGCGTGTAATTAATTGAATGTGTTTTGAGCTGTGTTTTCTATGTGCTTATACAATTCAATCTTGCATAATAAACGGCAAAAAATTATCGTTCGATCTGTTTTAAAATTTATACTGACATGTCACAAAACATTACATAACAACAAAGACAACAGTTATAACAACCGTGTCACAGCGATTGTGCAAAAATAACGTGATTTATTACAGGAAGTTTCTATTGTAACTTTCTTTTGGCCGTGATGCTTATAAAGAGCTCTAGAATTGTTATTTTCAAATATAGATGCGACATATATACCCAAGAGCACGGCAAACTGTACTTTACCGCGATATAAAGTTTATTCAGTTGTTTTGTCTCTGTACCCTAGTGGAACTTCTTGTACCCAAGACCTTGGCCAAGATCTTGGGTTAAGAAATGTCACAAGATCTTGGAAAAAACACCAAGAAGTCAAGATCTTGGATTCTTGAATTTTTCACTCAAGATCTTGGCCAGGATCTTGGGTGGCGTAAGCCAAGATGTTTCAAGATCTTTGATTCTTGAATCTGTCACTCAAGATCTTGGCCAAGATCTTGTATTAGAAATTTCAAGATCTTGAGTGAAGCCACTAAAGATGTTGCAAGAGCAAGAATGACAAATTTTCTTTACATTTTGTTTTTATTTATGACAGTCGTAGCCACTGGATATACGAACATAGAATCATAGATTCTTCCTTAAACAACTATGGTCACGAAGCAAAAAAAATCGAACTTATTCTAAGTATGAAAATATTCGCACTTATCTTTACACTAGAATGTAAAACAAAACGATGATTCAAGAATTTCCAAGATCTTGGTACAAGAAGTTAAGAAATTATAAGATGTTCAAGATCTTGACTTCTTGAAATTTCTTGAATTCTTATATTTTCTTACCAAGATCTTGAATCAAGATCTTACTGAAAAAATTCAAGAAGTCAAGATCTTGGTTACAAGAAGTCTCGCTAGGGTAATCATACATAGTGTATGAGATAGACTATAGACAATTATAGACTTTTTATACCAAGCGTAGTTCTTTACTTTAAACTAGCATATGTGCCAGATATAAGGAAAAGTTTTTGTAAGCAGACAAACAGAAAATTATCTTGAATTTGAGCAGAAAGTCTTGATTTTTACATTTGATAAGCCACTCTTTGTGCGCAGAACTAGGCTCCAAAGAACTCTGTAATATATCTGACATTTTGTCCACATCAGGTTTATTTGGATGCATCTTGATGCCTCCACTTCTAGTGAAAAATGTGTTAAGCTCACTGCAATAACGCTAGACAATTGGCCGTTTTGTAGCTTCTGAGTATTTTTTGGGTAGATAAACGGTTTTACATTTTCTAATGGAACAGTCAATACGGTTTTTGCAGAAAGCTAAATAGCATTTAAAATACTAAAGCGTTCATGGTACCTGATTAGAGAACCATGCTTGATGTGAAAAGTGTATAGGTCTCCATGGTCCAGTTATTAAATTCTGTCTTAACCCTTCAAGATTCAACATGGTATTCTTGAATGGCTCTACTAACGAGCGACGATAAGAAAGCAACAAAATTTTATTTTTTTTTTATCTGTCAACATTGTCAACTCAAAAGAAGAGAAAGAGCGACAGAATACACAAACATAGTGATAAGCAAACATGCTGTTTTTAACTACTGAAAGAAAAATTTATTATTAACAATAGACAGCATGTCTTGTTTTTTAAATCTTTTAAGAAGGTAGTTATTCTGGTAGTTATTTATCAGGTTTTTAAGTCATGTATAAAAGTTTTATTTCATTTTTGATTGTATGTAAAATCTCTAATTTTTAACAAGAAAATGCACGATGACAGCCTATAACATAGTCAAACTCTTTGCCAGCAGAAGAAGATTCAATTAATAGAAAACGCCAGCCATATATTCTGACGTAGAGCTGTGGTCTTTTGAGATTATTTTTGATGACTTTGTTTTTTCTATGTGTTTTGTTGTATATGGGGCATTGAAGGATCTATGTATAATATCTTAACGTGGTTTTCTATTGTGTCTAAACCGGTTACTGCGACATGTGATAAAAAAAACTAAGAATGCAGATAGGATACGAGGTTGACAAAGATAGGGCGTATCTTTGTCAACCTCGTATCCTATCTGCATTTTTAGTTTCTTTTGATCACATGTCGCAGTAATCGGTTTAGACAGTGAAAGTTTCACATAAGTAATATTCATCATCAATTCATTCGATTTGACTGAAAAAACTTGTTGCATATAAGCTCTTGTATTCTTTTGGTAAATAGAGAGTGCTAAGACCAGTTTCATGATCAATTTCTCTCTATGTAGACAGTGGATCCTTTGGATCGTTATTTTCCGATAGAAGAATACAATATACTTACGTTTCGATGAAGTCTCCAAATAGATCGGCTGGTAAACGGAAAAGCAGAGAAAATACTTCTTCTACACGTATGTAATCTGCAAAGGCTCAGAAACAGAACACAGCTCGCGCCATTCTTCGGTTGTTCTTCTTAAATGTGCAAAATATTATATACGTCGCAACTTTTGGGATATTTAGGGAATTTCCAACTATTGCAGACTCGTGAGAATTGTACAAACAGATGCAAACAATTATTTTGTATAGCGCTAGACTTGCAAAGACCCACTAATGAACAACATGATCTTATTGATGTCAATATGATGAAGAGTGTTATGTTCGAATATACATCGGATGCACATACTGAATTTTGTTCATGAAAATTTCTGTAAGAACATGTGGTGGCACATGAGAATTAGAAGCGGATCAGTGGTTTGACGGTTCGTCGATGGCACAGCATATAGCAGCTAGTCTTATTGTAAATTGGAAAATGAATGCAGACTGAATATTCCCCATACTAATTATTTTATTTTAATATAGATATTTGATCTTTATCTCATTTTCAAACAAAGTTTAACTTACAGAATTATTTGAAAATAAGCAGCAGGCCAATAACGACCGAGAGGAAGAAAGAAAAAACATTGTTGCACTAAAAACTGACAAATCTGATAAAGGATACTCCTCATAGTTCTACTAGAATATAAAATCTAAATGTCCTATTATTGCTAAATAGAACGTTTTTTGTAAAATTCTATAAAATTTGGTCAAACTTTGAATTACCGGTGCCTTAAAATTCTTTTCGGAAACCTAAGGTGGAAATCATTTATCAAATAATATTTAATAATTCGTTCAATGCATTCTATCCTTGATGATAAAAAGCATACTTAAATTTACATTAAAATAAAATCATTAATATGGTGAATATTCGACCTGCATTTATTTTTCAATTTATTAGTCTTAGTTTCAAGTGGACCATGGAGAACTATACACTTTTCAAATCAAGCATGGTTCTCTACTCAGGTACCATGAACGCTTTAGTATTTTAAAGCTATTTAGCTTTCTGCAAAAACTGTATTGACTGTTCCATTAGAAAATGTAAAACCGTTTATCTACCCAAAAACTACTCAGAAGCTACAAAATGGCCAATTGTCTAGCGTTATTGCAGTGAGCTTAACACATTTTTCACTAGAAGTGGGGACATCAAGATGCATTCAAATAAACCTGATGTGGACAAAATGAGTCTTACCCTCCCAATGAATTTCCCGGTCAACTAGTAATTAAGGTTATATCAATTGCTAAGATTAAGAAATATTATATGCGATTGTTAAAAGCGGTTTTTTCCGAAGTTCGTTTTAAACTCAAGTTTTCAGTTAAAGACCCGAAGTATACATTTTTTCAAAGTGTTTGTTAAACACTTTTAAACAAGGTTATCGCATCTACCAAGCTCTTCCCTAGAAAAAAGCTTTTATTATATTTCAGCAGTGTAAAATCTTAATTTTTTAGAAATCGTACTTACTCTAGACCGGATATATTTAACATGTCTGTGGGGGAGTAGTCATGTCCAGTTCAGTCAATTCATCTCCAAAGTATTATTTTTTGACATAATAAGTCTATTATGATAACAGGTCTAACTGATACAAGAAAGTTATCCTAGAAAGAGACATAAATTATGGTATGACCAACAAATGCTGCGTCCGATCCGCTGTTTGAACAAGTATTAGCTGCCGTTAAGGAATAAATATTAGTACCTATTGATCGTCGATTGAATCTACTTTGATCAGCTGTTTTACCCAGGTGTTAAACTTTATCACTACAAGCTCACTATTCGCATTTTTACTTAAACAATAGTCAGTATAAAAGAAGTCCAGTTGTTGATTTTTATGTCTCTTTTTAAAGAGGTTTCCTGGCTTTCAACAATGTTTTGCTGCACTTCAACGGAATTCGTTACAATACGTCAGGAAGAGTGTACTAGATACATTTTTGTTGTTACTTAATGTCGCACTCTATGTTCAGAACTATTAACGAAGTAAACGCACTCTCATGTACCATAAAATGATTTATCTCTATCTTATCTGATTTGTAATGAATGACAGAGCTCTGTCTCAATTACAGCACTAAATTCAATTAATTGGTCCATTTCAGTTTTAGACTTATTTCATCTGATAAATAATATTGAACAAATATTTTATGGACACAGATTTATTGTCCATCTTCGTACGTTGTGATGGTGTGTTACCACATGAAATTCAATGTCCAAAATCGCCGCAAGAAAAAAATAATCAAATAGATGTAGATAAGTTTAAAGGCTCTTTATTAGGATTAGCTGTAGGAGATGCACTGGGTGCACATGTTGAATTTCGACCCTACAGTTATCTACAAGACAACCCAGTTAGTGATCTTGTCGGTGGTGGAACATGGGGATTGGAAGCAGGAAAATGGACAGATGATACGTCTATGGCTTTATGCTTAACAGTGAGTCTCATTGTTCGGGGAGACTTTGATGCATATGATCAACTGGTTCGATATAAGTGGTGGCACAAATTCGGATACCTATCCTCAACAGGTCAGTGTTTTGATATTGGCTCTGCAACAAGAGCGTCTTTGGAAACGTTTTATCGGCGACAACTACGGCTAGCAGAGCAATTAAGTATAACGACCGAAGACGATATCGATAATTTGCCAAAGAACAGAGTAGATGAACAGAAATTTAATACAGAATGCGGTGAATCCGACGGAGCTGGCAACGGAGCTCTGATGCGATTAGCACCTGTTGCATTATTCTTTTGCAGGTCTGTAAAAGAAATGATACAATTTGCAGGCAACAGTGCCCTTCTTACACATGGAGATAAAAAAGCTGTTGATGCATGTAGATATTATGCCCTACTAATCTACTTTGCGGTGAACGGCTGTAGTAAAAGCGAACTGCTTGATCAGCGTCTCTGTGAAAAAGCTTGGAACATGGGCTGGTTTGGGAAAGAACCATTGCACGAAGACGTCGTTCGAGTGGCTGAAGGTTCGTATAAGCGTCGTGGTGGCTATGAAGATGGTATAAGAGGTAAAGGCTATATCATCTCAGCCATGGAGGCGGCCTTGTGGGCATTTTGGAGTGATGAAGGCTCATTTGAGAGAGGTGTGTTACAAGCAATTAATCTAGGAGATGATACTGATACTACCGCAGCTATTTATGGACAGTTAGCAGGCGCTTTTTACGGAGCGAAAGCTATACCGCAAAAGTGGCTAGGTCAACTGTATGCACGAGACTTCATTGAATCGCTTGCTGGATGGCTAAAGTACAAGGGGTGTATGTGGTCAAAAAACTCATCAACATCTGATCGTGACGGTGTAAATAATCAGCAGCTAATCCAAACTTCGAAACCAGTTAGAACAGGTTTTATGCAAAAAAAAGCAACAATTGTAAAAACTGCGACGAAAATCAATCGCTCATCTGCTGCTTCTACTTGTGCACGTTCCACAATAATGTCTAAAACTAAAACAGACAAACCTAAGCCGGTTGAACAGCGTTCATCGACAGTGGTAACAAGAAGTATGGCACAATCAAACAAACCAGTTCACCGTACCAGCCGTCCACGTAGCAGTACGAAACAAATAATAACGCCAACAACGTCAAACAGAAAGATTCGTAAAACTTATAATGATGGATAAAATTTTTCAATAGTTTACGTAAGTTGTTTTTAAGATATATTATATTTGATCTTTTTTTGTATTTTTAAAAAATGTGCAGTTATTGAGTTTAGCAGTCTAGGTTTACCATGAGAGGTAGACGTGCAAGATGACATGTCCAGTGTTTGCGATAGTAGTTTTGGTGGAGGTGACGAGCCTACTGATTAACTAAAGTTTTTTATTGAGTAACGAACGCATTCTTTGACTAAAATTTTTTCTGAGTAACTCGATTACTCAGACGATAGAGAAAATCACTTACTCAGGTGCATAAAATGCAGTTTTTCAACTTAAATTTCTTGAAAAAATTGAGTAAGTCAAAATTTTTTGAGTAACTGTATCCAAACGAGGGGGTGATTTGCCACCCCCTACCCACTGTCAAGTAAGACTGTTGTGTAGTTCATTTGTAGGGCCTTGCGGATAAATGTATGATACATGGTTTCGCATAAAACTTAATGGTCTTTGAATTCCTGGTGTCGAAGAAAAACTTACAAAACAGAGTTTAAAATTGATTCACCTGAAACTCGCTACGCATGTGCTGCATATTTCTTCATTACATCAAGACCGGAGTAGTTTTTAGGGTTAGTTTGACTAGATCTATGTCAGCTTTCAAAGAACCGAATTGGTTTTTCACAAATCTCCTGAAAAATCGATCTTTGAAAATTTCCCAAACTCCTCTTTGCCTATGAAAACATAGCCTCAGATCTTGACTAGCGAATGATGAAAACCGCAAGTCTCTATCTTTTATTCCTCCTGAGCTATTCAAAGAGCAGCCACCGGTCTTGTATTTTACCGCGGATAATGGTGCAACAAGCATAGAAAAAAAGAAAAACGAACGGAATATTCACATACTAAAGATTACCAGTCCTGCTCTCAAAGACTGTTCACAAAAAAGAGAAAACCAAATTGAACTTAATTTGAAATATGCAAAACTTTGTTTTACTTAGCTCATCAAATTCATTTTCGACAAAGTACTGATTTTTCAGACAAAAAAAACGTTTTTTTCTCGATCAGCCGGTCAAATAAATTTGTTTTCTGCCGGCTAGTTGCCGGTACCGGTTACATCTCTAATAATATGATCGAAGTGTGATAGTACCTGCTGGTAGAGCCCTGCAGGATAAATCCAACCTAACCTAACAGGTTAGGTTTAGGTTATGAAATTTTTTATAGGTTAGGTTGTAGATTACGCTATTGATAACCTTCTTTTAACCGAAACAAAGAAAAAACGATTTTGAACGACCACATTAAAACAGTCAACACTTTGAGTAATAAAGCTCAGTCCGAGTGGAATTTTATCGACTGAGGATGAAGTTCAAACTGAGATTCTCTAGTTTAAACTGAAAGATAGCACAATCAAAAATGAAAGCACACAGAAAAAGCTTCCGTTTGCTAAAAAAAGATGGCAAATACACAACAATAACAGAACCTTCGAAGCATCGAGAGCCTAAAGTGGAATTCTGGTCTACTCTTAAGAGCGTTTCCCTATTCAGAAAGCTATTTTCCAAAGATTGGATTAAAGAATAAAAGACTCAATCGATTGATTCTGTAGTAATGTAAAATGTGATTTATTTTTGTATAAGCTTACCTTTCAGACGGTGTTTAGATTGTTTGCCTTGCGAGAGAAAATATAGAAAAACCAAGAGAGTGAACTGAATAACTGATGTGTTTGCCGTCCTGGCCATTATTGAAGTTTCTTTCTGCGCTTCGTCGTTTAGTAACAGATTTAACTGCTTATATGCGTGAATCGTATTTTAGTTGTACAATTTGTGGGAAAAAATGTAAGTAACTTTATCAAAAATCTGAGTCGACCAGACTATTCCCCATAATTTTCTGAGTATCAGGTAAAAATGTCCAAACTACCAAAGGTCTACCGGCTGAGATAATAGAGGTGCAATTTCTTAATGTATTAAATTAACGGTGACCCGTGTTCTTTTCAAAATAACTTCTAATAGAAACAAGATAGAGACCTACGATTTATGCAAGACACCTCTAGGCAGCATTATCTACTAGCTTAGGAGCAATTGGGCGGGAAAAATTATCTGCAGGTGGTGTACCCGTTGGAATTATTCTTGTCAAAAAACGCTTTCAGAGAATCATTGCGATTTTTTCTCCGTCTGGTGGATCAACAAACAGCTCAGCGTACTTTCTGCAGCTTTTATACAACCACTGGTCCGCGATAAACTGGTCCGACCTCGAAAGGTTTCCTGCGGACCGACCCGTGTGAATCCGCAAATGTCTTATTTATTAAGTAATGCACGATTGTATCAACAATCGTCAAGCGTATCATTTCCTTTGTTTTTCGATAAAACATAATTATTCACATTTATTTTTAACCATGACAAAACAATTGAAAAAGAAACTTTGTTGAAGTTTTGGATTGGCGGCACCTTACTTTTCTTGAAATAATCTGGTTTAAATCAGCTTTTGAGAATTCGTTGGCATTCAAGAATATAGTTGTTCAAGAGTATAGAAAGTATAAGAGGTAGCACATTATTATTGAATAGTGGAGTATTGAAACACCAAATATATCTCTGACATAGATGTAAACTGTCGCGGTGTCTTGAATAGATCTAGTCTCGTTTTGTCGAAAACTCACTACCGCACCAGCCCTTCTGCCTCTGAAAGTCTTTGAGTAAGAAAGCATCGATGAAACAAGAATACACCAAGGTTGTGTACACGTTTAATCAACGTTTGATACATAATTCGTTTATATGATTTCAGTCAGAAAAGCGTATAATCTGTATATCTATTTTCTTACTCATTCTGTTTGTTTAATGACGATATGTCTTTCAAGTCTGTCAACGAACAGTTAATTTAGAACACTTCGGTACCATGGCCCGAAGTGACAGCCAGAAAGCCGTGGTACTACACACGAATACCATTTAACCATCCCATTTTAATTGGATAGTTTTTGATAGAAACAGAAAAACTTAATAATAATATTATTTTAATTTGTCCTTAATTCAGTTCGATTTTCAATTGGCATAAAAAGTGTAGCTCCTTTTATCTCAAAAAGTAAACTGAATCAGAGGTGTAACGGGTACCGGTAAGAATATAATGCCGACCGATATACCGGCATTAGTATGAAGTATAATCAGTCGGCCAGTATTGCTGTATTTTGCGGTATGATACGATTTTTTTCGAAAAACATCGTGTAAATTCAGTTCATCTGTAACATATTTCTTCCACTAAAATTTCATTCCAATTACTTGAGCTTTGTCGGCTTATATAAACTTCTTAATTCAAAAGATTGATTTGGATGGCTGTTTTCGTAAAAAAAACCGTGTGAAAAATCAACTGTACATAATCAAAGTGAAAAGATTAATGGATCCCTTTGATAACATAAAATAAAGTTTACAGTAAAGAAAACAAGGAAAAAGTATTTGTGTTTAGGCAAAATATGATCAAGACAAGCCGGTATCGGCATCGCATTTTTGATATCAATTACACCCCTGAACTGAACCGTTTTCTAAAAAATAGCTCAGCGCGAATTACAACTTGTTCATTGCAGATAGACGTAACCACGTGCCTAGTTAATTTTATTTTAAGCTGTAACACTGTCAGAATAAAGAGTAATTTCATAATGAGTGCTGAACAGTTTGATTAAAATATAAAATTCACTATTTTCTTACTCTTTTGTATATCTATCTATCTATACGTACAGACGACAAAAGCTCAAGAAGACAGAAAAACGATATCAAACCAGAATGGAGACATTTTGAACTTCATAGGTGAACCACGGAATGAGCTATAGTGTTGGATACCATGCAACCCTAAATGGAGCCATCTCGACCCAAAAAAATTCTGGACTCCGACGAAATCTTTGCGCCGTACAATGTAAATTCCTTGTGCTGATTTTAAATATGTAAAAATCTGAACTTACGCTGCTCTAGAAATATTCGATATGGAATATTTCATCGGCCTTCAGTTCCCAGTTAAATAACCAAGATGACATTCTTTTTCATCAGATTCAAAAACCAATACAATTGCACCTCATAATAGAATCTTGTGGCACTTGGTATCATCCGCACTTTTCATTAATTCATATTCCTAAGTCAAAAATGCTATGGAGTAGAAGATTTTATATTCGCTAACAACGCACTACGACACAATTCTCTCTCATTAGCAACTATCGCTAAGCTGAGTATTCTAATTAAGTGATTTCACTTAAATTCGTTTTAAAAAAAATGAAGTAAGACTCTCAAGATAGTCAAATATTTTTTCCCTTCCTCCGCACATGTAACACGTCTGCTGAATAAACGATACCGAAAACAGTTTTTTTCAGGGAATAGTAGAGCACGCAGATAAGTTGAAACTTCATCACGAATAGAAATTATTCTAGGAAGCTTTTACTAATCTCGTTTGAAACCGGCCGAAAAGCGACAACGCCTGAACGTCTTGCAAAAACAAGAGTGAAAATAGTATCATAATATACCTTCTAATCGAAATATAAGTCGAGCATCGAACGAGCGTCTTTTAACGTTCTCGAAGTGGATTACTCTAGAGCTTGCCATCTAACATGCATACTTTTACAAATATTCTTATAAAGGTGCAGAAATTCCGATGTTGCACGACTGAAAGATGTGATTTCTTTCACCATTTCTTCTCGTACGAGAATTTGAGTATACTGTACAAGAACTCTGTTTGTCTTACATTAGAGGAACTCACCCAGGAAGAAATTCTGGACCCTCGCAGCCATTAAAATTTTTTTTCCGCCTTTAAGGCGTTAAAAACCTTCTTTTGACACATGTTAAGGCTTTACACGACTTGAGATTTTTAATGCGTTCTCTGTAGTTATCCGTCTGAACTGAAGACGTTCGAACGCGTTATTTTTATAAACGTCTATAATGTATGTAAAATTTTAATGCATTGTAGCGTCTTCAGAAAGCTTTTCGGGCTCTAAGGCTTCTCAGGCGTTATAAAATAAGGCGTTCGAACGCCTTCCCATTTCTCAACTGACTTGAATTCATACATCAAGTAGAAGG